CCAAAAACCTCATAAATCACCATCTTCGTATCCACTTCTTTATATTAAATTCTGTTGAAGCTTATACGTATCGTTATAATTGCGATAAGTGACCTATGTTGGGAAATGAAATAGAAATCTCCTTACAGAATCAAGTTTATACTATTTTGGCTTTTTAATGAAGCTGAGGACATATAGTTCTTTTTTTCCAAGATATAGTCTTTGTCGAGAAATGAAAGTACACTTTCGCTACTTATTTCCAGTAACCAATATTTGTGGCGATATATATGTAATGCTTTAATTGATATTGAAATTGGACTAAAACAATATTTATATTCCATTTAGTATATTTACCAGTCGTACCAAATTCTTGAAAGTCTAAACATGTGACTGGAATTGTCTAACTGAATTAACGAGTAAATTGTTATTCATGTATGCTGCTAAATTTTGGAATTTCTGATACATTGAACTTTTGATATCTAAGATAAACTGCAAGCAAAGAAGAAATAACTGAAAATTACTATATGATAAAATATGTTGCCATGGAATACCGACGTAAGAGCAGTGACATTTCTTTGTCTAGGTAAGTTCCCTTTTGTTTGTTTTCCATTGTGATAAATATCCTGCAATATGACACGAATGTGCTACTTGAAATATATAGGCGTCACACATAATTTCTGCTGATTGACAGATTATTCACAATATCTACAATGGAATGATATATTTGTGGTTAACGTCTAGTGTCAAATTTTACATGCATGTCAGGACGAGAAAACGTTAGGGTTTTGTTTATCGATGAAGGCCACACTGCAACTTCTTAAATGGATAGTTGTTTCATTGGCAATAATACCGGATCTCATTTTTATACTGTATCGCTCATTCAGCATCTACTTTTAACACATTTTCAATCTATGTTCCAATAATGTTAAAATAGTGGTCCCAGAGACAGACTTCATAATTAGATATGGAATTAAAACTATTGTTTAAGTTGGATTTTCTGTTTCAGAGGAGAACAACTTATCATATTTTTAATAATCCAACTGTTTTGAAGTAAATTACTTTACAAATACAACACATATAAACAAAGTATTAGATAAACTTTTTATTTTTTCAAGTTAAGTTATCTTTTACGAATCTTTCTGATTGCATCATTAACTAACATACACATTGAAAGTGAATAGAAATTTCCAGATTTTTTTTATATTTTTTTCATTTTTAAATGTTCAAATCTAATTCTTGAATGATATCTTTGTGATATCTGATTTTATCTGTAAAATAACCTTATTGTCTTTATATTTTTCTTCTTCTTTTGTTCGTTTTTTGTGTGAAGCTGCTATCTGATATTTTGCTGATATCATATGTTATAGTGACCTATCTTAGTCTAGGATGTTTCAATTGAGTGTTTGACCTAACTGTGATCACATTTGAGGAATTTAGATCAAATACATTAATTGTTGTACTAAACTAAAGTATTTTTAGCAATATTAATTTGTTGGACCAGTAAACACATTGGTCTATAGAAATATATTTAGAAAAAAAACATGTAATTAAAATTGTTCGACCTTCTTTTAGCATTGTTATATACATGGAAATTTTTTTTTAAACTTTTGGTTCATTCAAATTTTATTTCAAAAATGATTATATATATGAACTATTTTAATTTCTATTTATAAATGGAAAATGACATAGATTGTAAATTGTTAGAATCTGCTAAAGATAAATAAATATATATATATGTATTTATATAGATATAAATCCCATTTCCAGACAAACAAAATTCAATGAGAAGTAAATATATCAAATAACTTTATGTTGAGACATGAATATAAGGAGTTTGGGGTTGTACTTGTATTGGAAAGCTACAAAACGTCACCATTGATAAAAACAATCAAATCAAACAAACAAAAGAACAAACAAAGACCATCGGTGTTTGACAATTATCCATTTCATATGTGAAGCAATAGATTGTTTCTTATCTATACAAGGTATCGACCATATTTGAATTACTTTTGAACCAGAAAGAAGATACGGTACCAAGAGGGGAATAACATATCATAAGTCGAATAAAACCGACAACAACATTGCCAAAAAGAATAAACTGTTAACACAAAGATATGTCTCGCTTTTTTGTTATTTTGGTAATAAAATGCAAATGTTGAAATTAATACAGCAATACTTTAACATGTAATATATGCAAAATATCCAAAGTCTATGAACCATGACTGAAGTTGCAGGGCCAAACAATCTCCATGGTCATGAGATCTGCCAATGCTAATACATATGCATACCAAATGGCATTAACCTACCAATAGTGGTTCCCCAATAACTGACCTAATCACAAACTAATCACTTTTCTATAAACTATCTGTATGACCGAGTTGGTTTTAATCACAGTATGACACGAGTTCTTTACTTACAGTTATGAAATATTCAAAGTCGAATTATAAAATGTTGTTATTATTCTTTAATGGTTTTCCATTTAAGTTTAACGACAGAGGATGATTAATGATAAAAAAAACCTGTTAATTTTTTTAGATGATTGATATAGGTTTGATACATTATACAAAAGTCCCTTGTCCATTTAATAGCATATTTTTGCTATGCTTTCTCCTGGTCATAGTATTTTAGATTTCTTAGGTAGGAACTTTTCTATGCGAGGACCCGTTGATCTGAATTTAATCTGTGTTTCAACTGTTATGATATGACGGTACTATAACCACGTGCATGTCGTAAAAGAAAGCAACGATATTACACAGTCGTCACATTGGCATGGTATATACCCTTAAAATATATGTTCTATTTCAGTAAGTACTCCTGTCACTGACATTAAATTGCATTGATAATTAAGTTTTGAACATTTACTGATCATAAAACTAATCATTCAAAATGATAAGGTTTTTCTATCTACAGGCATAGATAGCCTCAGAAAGATTAGGGACAGCATTTTATGAATCTTTGGTTTCTGATATCCTTCAACTTTGTAATTTGATTTGGTGAAAGACATTGATATTGAGTCTTGTATAGACGAAACGCGCGCCTGGCGTGCAAAATTATAAGCATGGAATCTTTAATGAGTTTTTACAACCGCTGGGTCGATGCCATTGATAACGGACGTTTCGCCCCCGAGGGAATTCACAGTTCTATTTTGCCTATGACGAGGAACGGAGTCCTATTTGTCCCAATTGCTGTTCCTTTGAACTTGAGATAGTGTTCACCACTGAATGTAAAATATTATTGCATTTCAATACCAAAGTGAGTAAATGTAAATGTACTAAACATTCATAAACTAGACCCCACTACATTCTGTAGTTAGGAGCCTGTAATTCGGTGGTTGTCGTTTATTGCTGTATATCATATTTGTTTTTCGTTTATTGTTTTAAACATAAATCAGGCCGTTAGTTTTCTCGTTTGAATTGTCTTACATTTGTCATTTCGGGGCCTTTTATAGCTTGCTATGTAATATGGGTTTTGCTCATTGTTGAAGACCGTACGGTGAGCTATAGTTTCTAACTTTTATGTCATTTGGTCTCTAGTGGAGAGTTGTCTCATTGGCAATCGTACCACATCTTAATATTTTTATATTCAGTTGGTGGATGTCAAGTGTTGCGCGAAATTTCTCTACGGGTTTCAATACAATCGTCATGGGGGACCTGGTATTGTCATTGGGGATGTTGGTATTGTCATTGGGAAATTGGTATTGTCATTGGGGATGTTGGTATTGTCATTGGGGATGTTGGTATTGTCATTGGGGATGTTAGAATTGTCATGGGGGATGTTGGTATTGTCATGGGGGATGTTGGTTTTGTCATTGGGGGTGTTGGTATTGTCATTTAGGATGTTGGTATTGTCATGGGGGATGTTGGTATTGTCATTGGGGATGTTGGTATTGTCATTGGGGATGTTGGTATTGTCATTGGGGATGTTAGTATTGTCATGGGGAATGTTGGTATTGTCATTGGGAATGTTGGTAATGTCATTGGGGATGTTGGTATTGTCATGGGGGATGTTGGTATTGTCATGGGGGATGATGGTATTGTCATGGGGAATGTTTGTATTGTCATGGGGGATGTTGGTATTGTCATTGGGGATGTTGGTATTGTCATTCGGGATGTTGGTATTGTCATGGGGGATGTTGGTATTGTCATTGGGGAATGTTGGTATTGTCATGGGGAATGTTGGTATTGTCATGGGGGGTGTTGGTATTGTCATTGGGGAAGTTGTTATTGTCATTGGGGAATGTTGGTATTGTCATGGGGAATGTTGGTATTGTCATTGGGGATGTTGATATTGTCATGGGGAATGTTGGTATTTTCATGGGGGATGTTGGTATTGTCACAAGGGATGTTGGTATTGTCATTGGGGAATGTTGGTATTGTCATGGGGAATGTTGGTATTGTCATGGGGGGTGTTGGTATTGTCATTGGGGAAGTTGGTATTGTCATTGGGGAATGTTGGTATTGTCATGGGGAATGTTGGTATTGTCTTTTGGGATGTTGATATTGTCATGGGGAATGTTGGTATTTTCATGGGGGATGTTGGTATTGTCATAAGGGATGTTGGTATTGTCATTGGGGATGTTGGTATTGTCATGGGGGATGTTGGTATTGTCATTGGGGATGTTAGTATTGTCATGGGGAATGTTGGTATTGTCATTGGGAATGTTGGTAATGTCATTGGGGATGTTGGTATTGTCATGGGGGATGTTGGTTTTGTCATGGGGGATGATGGTATTGTCATGGGGGATATTGGTATTGTCATTGGGGATGTTGGTATTGTCATGGGGATGTTGGTATTGTCATAGGGGATGATGGTATTGTTATGAGGGATGTTGGTATTGTCAAGGGGGATGTTGGTATTGTCATGGGGATGTTGGTATTGTTATGGGGGTGTTGGTATTGTCATGGGGATGTTGTATTGTCATGGGGGAAGTTGGTATTGTCATTGGGATGTTGGTATTGTTATTGGGGATGTTGGTATTGTCATGGGGGTGTTGGTATTGTCATGGGAATGTTGGTATTGTCATGGGGGATGTTGGTATTGTCATGGGGGATGTTGGTATTGTCATGGGGGAAGTTGGTATTGTCATTGAGGATGTTGGTTTTGTCATTGGGGATGTTGGTATTGTCATGGGGGTTGTTGGTATTGTCATGGGGGATGTTGGTATTGTCATTGGGGATGTTGGTATTGTCATGGGGGATGTTGGTATTGTCATGGGGAATGTTGGTATTGTCATTGGGGATGTTGGTATTGTCATTGGGGATGTTGGTATTGTCATGGGGAATGTTGGTATTGTCATTGGGGATGTTGGTATTGTCATTGGGGATGTTGGTATTGTCATGGGGGATGTTGGTATTGTCATTGAGGATGTTTGTATTGTCATGGGGATGTTGGTATTGTCATGGGGAATGTTGGTATTGTCATTTGGGATGTTGGTATTGTTATGGGGGATGTTGGTATTGTCATTGGGGATGTTGGTATTGTCATTGTGGATGTTGGTATTGTCATGGGGGATGTTGGTATTGTCATTGGGGATGTTGGTATTGTCATTGGGAATGTTGGTATTGTCATTGGGGATGTTGGTATTGTTAAGCGAGACAACTAAAGTCAGTTAGAAAAGGCTTGGATCATCAGTTCGACATTAGAATATGAAAGATAACAAAAACTGTTATAGATAATTTAAAATACGGTAATGCCTTGCTTTTTTTGCAATAAGAAACACAATGTATGTAAGGAAGCACAACTATCGTTTACAACTATGTTTTCTAAATGTCCACAAGGACCAAGCTTAACCGTTCTAATCTGCAAAAAAAAGAAACGTTTTGTGAACCTTCTATGTTATATATTTTACAGGTTATATATGTGTAACAATGTCGTGGTCTACTGTTAAAAACTTTTGTTCTACGTTTCTGTTCATAAAGTAAGAAAATAATAAGAAACTAAGGTGTCAAATCCCTAATGCAAAGTCCACCTAAGATGAATCATGCTATACGTTTTAAGTACTTTTGGTCATATAGTCCCTGATGTGTATACGTATTTATACATTCCTGGCTTTCAAAGGTTTTGGTTTGGGCGTTCCCAATGAAGGTAAATAGAGAAAAGCGTTTCGGTCGCGCGAAATATAGGTAACTATTTTCATTTACCAAATCTTGGTCGATACCACTGCTGATGAACTGGTGGTCCACGATGGTAACTTGTACTGGTGGTCCACGATGGTATCGTGTACTGGTGGTACACGATGGTATCACCAGCTCAGTAGTCAGGACTTCGGCACTTAAATCATTTATAACATATTTTTCTTAAATACCAAGTTCATAAATTAAAACAAAATTACCAAGAAACTGAAGTTGTCTGCAAGTTTTCTCAAATGAAACTACTGTAAGATCATCGGTTATGCAAAAGTTTTGATTTACGCGGTTTTTTTTATTGGTTAAGTTGCAAAGCACTGGTTCTTTTAATGATATTTAACGTCTCGTAAAATATTGGGGGTTTTGTCATTAAAATTGCATTCTTTCAATTCATATAAAATCAGTGAATATAATAATTAATGGTGTCATAGAGAGCAACACGACTGTAGAATGAATGATTGAGTTGATATTAATTACACCAGGATATTAACTCTTTCATTACAAAAAAATAGATGCAAAGTCAACTCACACGTTCTTCCAAATAATTACGGGATAGTTTTCCAATCTAAGTTTAACGACAGTGGATGATTAATGGTTATAGACCTTTTAGAAATACAATGTGTGAATGATAACTAAAGAATTTAGAGAAGTGTATTAGAATTCGTATTAATAGTCATTTCATCCAAAAAGTACTGATAGATTTAAAAATAATTTACGTTTATAAAAACATCACTGCAAACATGTTAATATTGAACATACAGAAAAATGTACACCCATGGGAGCTAACAATTCATCCCCATCATTCGGTGTTTCGTCTAAATATCTGCAGTTGGTGTAAAATATATCTATCATTCGGTGTTTCGTCTAAATATATGCAGTTGTTGTAAAATATATCTATCATTCGGTGTTTCGCTGAGTCTTTATCAGGTTTAACCTGTGTTGATCTTGTATATTCACACCAAATTATTTATATTCTGTATAGTAGCCACAAGTAAACTGACGGTGGTTGCACCTCTAGGGAGTATGTCTAAATTTGTCGTGGTTTCAATGTTTATATTGTTTCTATATTTTGAAGTGAGATAGTAAGGAAATACGTAATGTAGTTGTAAGATTTATCAACCCATTATAGTTAATAAGCTGTTGATTTTACCCTGTATCTGAGTTCTTCAATGCACAAACGTAGCATGAACAAAATCTAGGAGAGAAGTTCGCCAAACTGGGTCAGTCTAGAACTTGCAGTGGGGTGTGAACGTTTATTTCATGTTTAATATCTCACTGTGACTTTGATATGAAGAACACCAATACAATCGCTGCTCCTTTGTGTTTGGTTTTGTCAAGTGCATGAAGTGATTTAGTGTCTGGAAATACTACACAATATTCCTTCCTTCCCATCCAATGATGTAACAACAACAAAATTGTATATAAGTATAATATAAATATGTCTCAATCGAACATTATCAATTAACCTATTTCAGTTATAGTCATATTCAACATAAAGAAAAAATAGTCAGGCATTTTGTAAAGATTTTACTGTTTCCTATTGCATAAAAGAATCTATTGGGAAAAAAAGATATCAGTACACAAGTAAAAAGTATCACAAAATAGCTAATGTATGAGATTCTACCAAGAGCAAAGACAAATCTTAATACTTTTTAATTGATTCTGCTATTTGAAAAAGCAGTCATAACAATTCTTAAAATACATACGAGCGAAGGCTTTGATAAATTAGATATATCATTAATATTAAATGTGCGTTGGTCTGTCACTTATGAAACGCGTTTAAGTTAACTTAAAGGTTGAGCAATATTAAGTACACATAAGTCTACTAATTTTTATAGATGAATTGCTGCTGAAGTAAACATTGACTTAAAATACTAATTATCATTTCAACACAATTTTGCTTGAACCACCTATTGCCTTTTATCAATGAGGAGGTTACTCTATAAAACTTAGACAGAGAACAAATTATACACTCAAACAAAAGTTCATTCAGAAATATTAAACATACTCAGATTTTGGCTGTAACTTGTCTTCCAGTAGGTCATATGTACATGTAACCTTTGAAGAAATCTGGTACTTAAGCAACACAGAGGAGACGATGTATTACATCTAGTACATATTACCGTACGTCTAACCAATAATTAATCCAGGGATCTTACGCAATATTGGTCTTACGAATGAACATAGTTTGAAACGAATCAGATACTTATTTGTCCAAAAGATAAACAGCTGATGCAACTTCAAAGTAAGAGGAGAGCATGGAACAACCAAAAGATAAACAGCTGATGCAGCTACAAAGTAAGAGAAGAGCATGAGACAATCAAACGATAAACAACTGATCCAGCTACAAAGTAAGAGAAGAGCATGGGGCAATCAAAAGATAAACAACTGATGCAGCTACAAAGTAAGAGGAGAGCATGGGGCAATCAAAAGATAAACAACTGATGCAGCTACAAAGTAAGAGGAGAGCATTGGGCAATCAAAAGATAAACAACTGATGCAGCTACAAAGTAAGAAGAGAGCATGGGGCAATCAAAAGATAAACAACTGATCCAGCTACAAAGTGAGAGGAGAGCATGGGGCAATCAAAAGATAAACAACTGATCCAGCTACAAAGTAAGAGGAGAACATGGAGCAATCAAAAACAAAAAAATAAGAAAGAAAAAGAAAAACATTACTTTAAAGAAATGTACAAAAAACAATCAAAATCAAAAAAAAAAACACCACATTAAAACTTGAGACTTAGTTATGAACCCCATCAAGTCATTGAAATCCCGTCGTGTTTCTCATGGATAATAAGAATCCGATGATTAGTTTCATTAATGTAGGAGGGGAGCAAAGAATTATGCCAATCACATACGGAACATTTTCGTGATAACATGCGACACATATATTCCATATCAGTCAACCAAATATTGATGGCGTTTATAACAATTCAGAAACTAAAATTCCAATTTGAGAACTAACACAAAATAAAACACTCATAAAAAAATAAGAAGATTTGGTATGATTGCCAATGAGAAAACTAAACACCAAGGTTCAAAAGAAGTGGATGTAAGCAATTATGGCTACCGTTCGGCCTTCAACAATAAGAAAACCCCATACCATATAGTCGACAAAAAAAGCCATGAACCAACGACACCACGGAATTACAGGCTCCTGACTTGGGACAGGCACATACAGAATGTGGCGGGGTTAAACATTGTTTGTGAGCGCTCAACCCGCCCCCTAACCTGTGACAGTGGTGTAACAGCACAACATAAGATCAAACTATTCTCATTGCAATTGGCTAAACTCAAATGATCGATTTTTTAACAACATCACCATGAAAATTAGGATGTGATATTCCGTTTTTAATAGGAACTTTACAGGTACAGCCAAACTTCCTAACCAAATCTTTGTATCTATGAAAGAGTTTGGAAATGGGTTTAATCATTTTGTGGTTACGAAACTCCTGAGTTTAAAATTTACAAGTTATACATAAATAACGTTCATTGAAATCTAAAACACGACTACAGCCACGGACATAGCCGACAAGTTATGACATATACACACCATACGAAGGGGCAAAAGGACATCAACGCCAAAAAAGTGAAAATTAACAACCTGGAACGATTACTCGTCTCTTTTATCGTAAATTTGTCCCGTGTGAAACTGACATATTAAAATCTAGAATTATAGCTGGGTGTATTAGATTTACTCAAAGTAAGTTTCTTTGGGTAAATATTTGCAGTAAAAATAGAAAAAAATTTGATTATTTAAAACAAAAATATCATCAAGGTAACGGTAAGTGTTTTTAAATTTATCAATTAATTGTAATTTTGACGGATCCTTACGAAGTTTGGCCATTAACTTTGATTCATAACAATACAGGAACAAGTTTGCTATTAAAGGGGCGCGATTGGTGCCCATAGGAATACCTAGAACCTGTAGATAAACTGTATTTCCGAAACGTACAAAAGATGTTGTCAAGAAGAAAATTTAAATCTTTAATCATCTCATCACAGTTCCAGTAAGAATATCTAGCATGTTTTCCTTTTTCATTACAGAAGAAGGTTTTAAATGAGTTGCAGCAAATAAATCTGCTACCAGATTTTTCAAAGCACCATTTAAGACAACTTAATACGGCAAAGACTAGCACATAATATTGAGACAATAGAAAACGAAATAAACTACGGGATAATTCAACAAATTGAAAGACAAAACAAAAACAAAGACACTCCTACAACACCGGGACAAACAAACACAATGTACACTATCAATAAATACAACGTATAGAAAGTCAAAATGGACGACAAAGACAAGCACAAAAACATAATATAGAATGCAAAAAGACGAGAAAGACAAACAGACCAGTACATTACAGCTCAGCGTGTCGGTTTAGTACAAAGCAGAGTTTATATTCATATAACACATTCTCGTCCTGAATACGCATTTAATAAGCCACATGGTCGTTTACATGCCATCCAACACCGTCATCAAATTATAACATTTTGTGTTTTGGGGTTTATTTGTTTGGGTTTTTTTAAGGGGGAGGGGTGTAAATAACCAAGCATCGTACTTAGGTTTGAATAAATAAAGGCTTGAATAAATAATAAACTGTTTTTTTATGAAATATTGATGACTGTGTTGTTAAGGTGAAACAGATATAAAGTAAGTCGACTATTTCATACCTGTTATTAAGCAATAGAATAACATATTTTTTTAACGTGACCTCGATCAATATTTTATGCCATGATTTCACTATAATATGCCACATTAGAACATTCATACTGCATTTCACTTCTACCAATATTTATCCTGTTATGCTTATCCTTTTTAATTGAAGCAAATCATCTAATTTAAATTTGAACTAATCAGACGATTCATTAATTGAAAATGATCGGTGTTCTGGTGAAATATATTTATTGATTTGATTAAACACCTTCAATATGAAAAGAAACTTTCTGTATGAAACCTGAATACCTTACTAATGTAATGATCACGTTATTACTTCGTTATTTAAGAACTGGCTTTCTAATGATTAAAACGAATACCATTTTTTTTCTATATGTAAGATTTTTGACATTAGTTAGGTTTTTTTTTATATTCGTGAATATATAATAAACGTTGGATTTTTGAAAAATACTTTTATATATATTATATATAGTAATAACTCATTCCTTTGGTTTTTTGTGAAATATATTTATTGATTTGATTAAACACCTTCAATATGAAAAGAAACTTTCTGTATGAAACCTGAATACCTTACTAATGTAATGATCACGTTATTACTTCGTTATTTAAGAACTGGCTTTCTAATGATTAAAACGAATACCATTTTTTTTCTATATGTAAGATTTTTGATATTAGTTAGGTTTTTTTTATATTCGTGAACATATAATAAACGTTGGATTTTTGAAAAATACTTTTATATATATTATATATAGTAATAACTCATTCCTTTGGTTTTTTGTGTAAATCTTATATAACCACGAGAACTTTAAATAGAGAGCATACAACAGGTTAGGTTAGTTGTCATGGTTGTGTATAAGTAGGGTTATACTGTTTCAATGAAGAACTTGGAATCATTTAAAAAATACTGTATCACCATGAGTCAAATAAAAATATTGTGAACATCCCTCCATTCCTCTTGAAATTGGTTCTATCTGTTAAACTCATACGATGAAGGATCTATAGGAATAAATAAAAATGCTGACAATTAAAATTAGAAACAAATAAAAAAGAAGACTTCCAAAAGAGAAGAAAGGAAACATCGAACCCTTAGATTTCACTTTTAGTTATGACGAGGGTTACTTCAGAAGGTACATGTACTTACATTTTATGAATCCCAGTGAATGTGCAATGAGAAAACTGAAGAGACAGCAAGGTATCTTTCATATCTATATCTCTTTCGATCAATTGGTACTGTCTGAAGTCTTAAGATCTATGTATCTTTATTTACGAGATATATGTTTCATCTGTCATAGATCCCACACGCCGACTATCGTCCATTTGCCATAGGTACCACTTGTCGAACATCCTATCGTCCAATCGGTCATAAACCCTACGTGTCGACTATCGTCCATCTGTCATAGACCCCACATACCGACTATCCTATCGTCCATCTGCCATAGATACCACCTGTCGACTATCCTATCGTCCATCTGTCATACATACCACATGTCGAGTATCCTATCGTCCATCTGTCATACATGTCACATGTCGACTATCCTATCGTCCATCTGTCATAGATACCACACGTCGACCATCCTAATGTCCATCTGTCATAGATACCACAAGTCGTATATCGTCCATATGTCATATATACAACATGTCGTCCATTCTACCGTCTATCTGCCATAGATACCACATGTCGACTATTCTATCGTCCATCTGTCATAGATACAACAAGTCGACCATCCTATCGTCCATCTGTCATAGATAAAACATGTCGTATATCGTCCATATGTCATGGACGCCACACACCGAATTTTGCCCAACGGTCATAGGTTCTTCATATCGAGTATCGTTCATATGACATAAACCCCACACACCGAATATTGTCCATCTATTATCGATCCTACATGTCGGCTGTCGTACATATGTCATAAATTCCACATGTCGACTATTGTCCAACGGACATACATGTTGCATGTCAAGTATCTTCCATATGTCATAAACCTAATAAATCGACCATCCTATCGGCCGTATATACCACCTGTCAACTATCATATCGTCCATCTGCCATAAAAACCACCTGTCTACTATCCTTTCGTCCATCTGTCATACATACCACATGTCGACTATTGTCCATATGTCTTAGACCCAACATACCGACTATCCTATCGTCGATCTGCCATATGTACCACCTGTTGACTATCTTATCGTTCATCTGTCATAAATACCACATGTCGACTATCGTCCATCTGCCATTTAAACCACATGTCGACTATCCTATCGTCTATCTGCAAGAGATACCACATGTCGACTATCCTTTCGTCCATCTATCATAGATCCCATTTGTCGACGATTCGTTCTTCCATCTTTCATAGATACCACAGGTCGACTATCTTATTGTCCATCTGTCATAGATACCGCATGTCGACCATCCTATCGTCCATCTGTCATATATACCACATGTCGACTACTCTATCGTCCATCTGTCATATATACCTATAAATATCAGCCCACCTTCACAATAGGTTAGCAGTCAGTCATTCAGACCACCTTCACATTAGTTTGGCAGTCAGTCATTCAAATCACCTTCGTATTAGGCAGTTATTCCAACTATACTTTTATATAGAAAGCCACCCATTAAAAATCTTTTCATTTATGTTAAGACTGCCACCCATTCAAATCAACTACTTGCACATTTAAGCTGGCAGTCAGAAGAAAACTGCCAATATTATCAAATATATATATAAAAAATAATTAACAATTAACAAAAGTAAGTGAACAACTGCAAACAAATATAAGAAAAGATATAACACATATTTTCTGTAATACCGATTTAAGATCTCGTCTTTAACAAAAGATAGCAACAAAAGATTTAAAGGGATTAAAGGTATTTACTTTTCAAGTCAAGATGATGTAAATAAACATTGTTTGAAGTGTACAAAAGATGAACAAAAGGTTTTCAAATAAAAGTAGAGAATTGCGTTTAAGTCGATTAAGATTTTATTGTATGGTTGGATGATGTTATTGAAATTAGTTTTTGTGGCGCAGTGGGTCGTTTTTATTGAGAAAACGAATCATATTGGTGTCTATTGAAATAAATAAATGTTACTTCTCCGTTATATCACACTAAGTAGTGACACTTTGCAGGTGTAATATCAGATGGGAAATTAACAGTCAAAGTCATCCATCAAATATATAAGCAGGAGATATACTCTCGAGTTGTACTGTGTCAGCGTGTTATGAGTTCTATATGAAAGTTTTACAATAAAGGGACGTGAAATACTCTTAAAAAGGACATGAACATGGTGTTAAAGGAACAGATGACCAATACTGCAGTTCCACAATCTATTCCAAGAATTACTGTAACGAGGTAATTAATATCAAACAATCTATTTTTACGAATAATGCAAAAAGATACCTCCTGAACAATAAAAAAATAAAAATAAAACCAATGATAATATTGTATTCCAAAACTGAAAGTTCGGTTCATTCAGGAGAAAACAAAGAATAAGTAATTATATTTAATAGTGATGTCAATTAGAACAGCGATTCTTTGAACGTTCAACGGTCCAGACATGATCTCTTGAATGCAGTGGGCTTTTTGTGTAGTTTTTTTCGTCGAACTGTCAACCAATATCTGTGATTCTTGTTTTAAATCATGCCTAATTTGCAGAGAATTATTATATGAGCGAAGGCCAATATTTACAATATATTTATTTCAGAACAGGGCCAATTTTTAATATTTTCAATCTTAACTTAATTGGCAGTAATATCATTCCAAATTCCTGTATGTACTTTGAATTTCTTATATTTTTATTCTGAACTCTGAATACCTAACCAAATCCTAAATATCTGACGATGGTTAAAATGGCACTTTTATATGCACTTTTGACAAAATATTGGACAAATTGTGGATATTTAAAAAAATGATCGATGATATTCTTAAAGAAAAATCTATATATATAGGAAGTGTTTCATACAAAAAAATGCGCACACGTTTAAAAACGTACAAAACTAGAAAAAGAACCTTTTCATTATTATTTTTACATGATATATTTTAACCAGGAAATAACGAAACAAAATGAAGCTTTTCTTTGTTTTATTTTAAATATATTTACGGACATTTGTAACGTTGTCATGGAGAGCATGTAGAGTCATTGATGTTGCCTTTTTATTTTATTATAGAAATGCACACCCGAGGGGTTGATTGTAAAACTGCAAATTTATACACCCGAGGGGTTGAAGGCATAAGAACAATGCAAATTCTACAATGCAAAAATGATTCACCATTAAAACATTATCTGAAATTTCTTTCGCGATTGTGAAATTATTACTGAGTGTGAGTTTGCATGGCGGGTGATACATGTATATCAGGAGACACACCCGGTCTCGCTCCATTGGGAGTTCATGTGATTCCCGCAGCTTTTGTTTACGACCTTGATTTGTCGCTCCCTTATCGATTTAGGAGATTTGAACATAAGTAAACTACTGTCGCCTTAATTTATACTAACTGAAATAGGTTTTAATCGACTTTGACTTATCTTTTTAACTTGTGGTGTGGATTGAGGATCTGCAAATTTAGTACTTTTACCTATATTTCTGTTTCACTATTTTGTTATATCTTATTCACATTTTATATATATATCTTTGGGCTTCATTATTCTAATTTTAAGGCCATTATTATTTATTTATTGGACTCTTTTAAGCCATAATTGTTAAGGATGCCCTTTAAACAGATTTCGGTATTAAACTATGACAATGAAAGTAACACTTTACATTTGGTGCAACATGCTTACTGATCACCTTAATTCCTTACTAAAGAATCTTTGTGACCAGAATTGTAAATAAACAAGTACATAAAAAATCATAGGTTGGTGTTGATGTTTATTTATTTACATTTTTGCTGTTTGTCTATATTGTAAATGATATGTAATATCAAATGATGTTAATCCCTTTGTTGATTTATACCTAGTTATATTTATTGTTAAGTAGTGGCGCATAAACGGACTTTCTTTTATTGTCCTCAATTTGCAGGAACTCATTCGCTAAAGAGGCTTGTATTAAATCGTGTAAAGAAGTAGGATTAATAACCATTGCTGTGACCTCAGGCCATTCATTGACCGTTATCTATTTTTTTTAGAATCAATTCTTCTTAAATCGGCCGTTGAAGTAGAGAAATAAAAGTATGTGACAGTTCTCCACTTTGTTCGCTTAATTGTATTGCTAAGTAAATCTGAATGGTTAATTTACTGATTTATGTTCATAAATGGAATTAGTTTAAAATTTATATTTGTTTTGAATAAGTGAGGATTATTTTAATTTTGAAATAATTTAAAATGGTGCTCAAAACTACTTATTAGAAGACCCCTATTGTTTGTGTGTCAAGGGTCAATGTCACATCAGCTATTAATAGACTCGCATTTTGCCATTTTTTTTCTTTAGTTTCCAGATGTTATCTTTTGAACCATAATATGTCCAAATTTTACAAAACTTTATTTGCTATGCCAAATGTAGTAACGAAGACCCCTCATAATTTTGGGTTCAATAGGTTAAGGTTCAAGGTCACAGTGACTATTGGATGATAAAGACTCCTAATGGTTTTATGACAATCGATCCAGATTTTACAAATCTTTGTCCGATAATGTCCATGTCCTGTTGGATGATAAAGACTCCTAATGGTTTTGTGTCAATCGATCCAGATTTTACAAATATTTGTCCGATAATGTCCATGTCCCGTTGGATGATAAAGACTCCTAATGGTTTTATGTCAATCGATCCAGATTTTACAAATCTTTGTCCGATAATGTCCATGTCCCGTTGGATGATAAAGACTCCTAATGGTTTTGTGTCAATCGATCCAGATTTTACAAATCTTCGTCCGATAATGTCCAGTGTCCCGTTGGATGATAAAGACTCCTAATGGTTTTGTGTCAATCGATCCAGATTTTGCAAATGTTTGTCCGATAATGTCCATGTCCCGTTGGATGATAAAGACTCCTAATGGTTTTGTGTCAATCGATCAAAGTCAGAGCCAATTTAGGAAGACTGAAATTTGGGAAACATTTTAGTTTCTGAATTTATCTTTCAACCATATGTCCAACTTTTAAAAAACATCTTTTGTGTTTGCATCATGGAATGGAAAAGATTCATATTAATCTTATTTTTTATCAAAAGGTCAAAGTTCAAGGTTGGACTTGAATGTTCGGGTAAAGTATTGCTTTGGGGATAAAATATCGTTTTATCCAAATCTTGGTTTCCAACCATTTTACATAAATTATCGTCGGACTTTACAGTCTTCTTTGTACTCTGCACAAAACTCTGTCTGTTTTACTAAAAATCATTAAAGTTCGCAACTCGGCTTATGAACCCATGGTGCATCTGTAATTTAATATGAAAATTAGTTTTGTTTTTCTTTTTTGCAAATTATGGATAAAACTTTGAATCATATTCATTTAACTGAAATTCCAGTATAGTGTACTTATACTAGCGCGTTCAAGTATGTACGATATCTTCATGATTCAAATCTACTCTAGTAGCATCATTCCATAGAATTAGGTTGTTATTTGAACACTCTGATACGAGAAAAATTAAAAGTTAATAAAAACAAAATTGAAGTTTTGAACGGATTTCGCAAAAATAGTTTTAGTAAGCGGATATATGATTTTATTTCCTTAGATATTCGGTGTACATGAGATATATTAAACAAAAAAAATGAGGTTACGGTTTCAAAATATAGAATAACGTGGTGAGCACTGTCGCTTTATGTCCATTACGAACACAAACACATATAAATATATATATTGTTAGGCTTTTTACACGTTGTAAACACAAATCTTGGAGAAAAAGTTCAATTCATCATTTTCTAATTTGAAGATAGCGCTGCACGAAAAAACTATAGTTGTGAATTTAGATGCAGAGATACTGCCCATATAGACACCATTGAATTTACGCTGATTATGTCCTACCAAAAATCATGATACCAGCTATGATCAAGAACTGAATTTGTTACAAAGTAAATGTACATCTTCATAACGTACATTAGAACATAAGTCAATAAAATATACAACAGAAGCGCGAATTTCTTGAAACGCTTATCGGGCCGGCAGTATCTTTTAACGAAACAACGTTTCTTAATGTGTATCCGTTATGTATTATTTCCAAAACATCTCTACAATATTTTTCATCGTTTTACATAAAGATCCAGCAACATTATATTAAATTTCTGAAACTTTAATCAATAATATATGTTCTGAGAAAGACTTCGATGTTAACAACTTTTTAATATCTATACTAACATGAGTAGAGATAAATCCTTACCAGAACCAACAATCTATATAGAATTTATAAGAATTGTATTTTTATACTGTCTCTTAGTTCTGATAGTCGTTCATTGCAAAATTTCCAGTGGCAGTAAGTCTTTGGTTTTCAGAATAAACATAATCGATTCGTTATAAAAAAAAAACAATTCTTGTATAACATGTATATTATTGTAAAATTCTGATAATGTTACAAGTCATGACTAAAGTTTTGCAGTACGAATAAAAGAAAACATTAAGAGCAATTAACAAATAACAGAAATCAAACAAAAACTAAAATTAAAAAGGGTAAATAAGAGGAAGAATAAGGGGAAAAACATTCATGAACTTATAATTATATTTAAGAAAAGGAATATCTAAATCAAACCCATGAAAAAATACTGTAATATCAGATTTATTTCACTTTTATGTAATGTTGTTATTGTGATCTCGTGTTACACATGTATCTGTGTTTCAGTGTTCAAATAAAATCTTGAAATCCCTAGTTCACAAAATAAAAGAATCTGTTTCACCAATGACGTGTCGAGATATATCTAAATGATGAATCTAAATAATATCTACAACTGTATCAGCTCAATACAAAAACTGACGTCAATTAAAAATTAATAAATTCGGTCTTTGACGTGGTTCAAAAATTATTGGTAAAAAGATAAAACCCAAATATTGTATGACTTATGTTCATTTAAATTCCTCGTCAAAAGAGTTAGTACATGTGTGATCGAGTTATAGGTTTGAACTTGTAAAGGGGACACCATGACATACAAATCATAATTCAACATTATCATAAATTATAATCATTGTCATTTTCAAGGATAATAGTGTTTATTTGTATTGCTTTTGATGGTTTTCTATACTAAACCGTTTACTCATCTCAAATATTTAACACTTTAATTGATTCTGGAATAATGAGAATAAATTAGATTTTAACAAGGAAGAAACGTTTTCTAAAGTCTTTTTTATGATTAACCACAAATGAATACAAAATGTTCAGATTGTATTTGACACCTTACAATGAATAATACATAATATATTCCGTATGATAAATAATATCAAT